TCAGGAAGAATTTAAACGTCATATTAGTTGCTCTCCTGCCATCACCTTAACATTATTATCATTTTGAACATCATTTCTTCTTGTCTTTACTCTTCTTTTTTACAATTCTTCTTTGTACTCCTTTTCACTTCCATCTTTTTTCCTCTTATTATTTCTCCTTCTAAATTTACTTCTTTGCACGTCTGCTTCGTTTCGTTTCTCTTTCCTTATTTAACCATTTTTGTTTTGCCATCTTTATACTTGCTTTTTCTTTTTCTCTTCTTTTTCGACTTTAAATTTATTTCTTCTGTAGACTTTCTTCTTGTTTTTCTTAGTACTTTATACTTTTTGCTTCTTTTTTCTTCTTCTTCTTTTCCTACTACTTCTTCTTCTCCCTTTCCTTCTCTTCTTTTACTTCCTTTTTTCTTCTTCTCTTCCTTCTTCTTCATCTTCCTATTTTCCTCCCTTCCTTCCTTTCTTCTTCTACTTTTCCTTCCTTTCTTCTTCTTTTCCTCCTTCTTCTTCTTTTTCTTCTTCTTTTCCTACCTCTTCTTCTCCCTTTCCTTCTCTTCTTTTCCCTCCTGTTTTTTTCTTCTTCTTCTTCTTCTTCTTCTTCTTCTTCTTCTTCTTCTTCTTCTTCTTCTTCCCTTATTTCCATTTATTTCCATTAAATCCCTTGCTTCTTTACCAAATATATAAGAACTGATTTATTATTGACTAAACCTAGTTAAATTTGACCTAAAACTCTGTAATATGTCAACCATTGAACACGCGCCTCCAATCAGCACGCATGCGCAACTACCGACACGCTAGCTGTCTCACGATTTGCCAAGCTGAGGCTACAAGGAGAAAGAAGAGAGGTGAAAGATTCTGAACCCCGACAACATCAAACCGATAAATGCACAACTCTCTCAACCACTAGACATTACACAATACGTGTTAGACGAGAAAGAAACCGATTAAAATTTCTCTTATTTTTTTTAATCACTTCGGATGTTGAGTGTTTCATCGGAATTGAACTTCTTTGATTGAAACTGCTATTAATTTCGAAGTGACATTTTGCTACTGAAAGAATTTGCTAACGGATTTCTTTTGCGAAGAAACTTGTTACCGAATGAATAAACGCGGGAAATCAGCAATAACGCTCACTAGAAAGTAAAAGAATATATATATATATATATATATATATATATAATATAAAATAATTGTCTAGAAAGAGAATGTTTTAAATTAAATATAGTACCCCACCCCAATATTGTGTAGGTGAGTGCGCATGAAAGAATTGTTAAAAAAACCGAACTTCTGGTGGACAGACAGTTGCGTTCCTGGAGATTTGCGCCTCCAGACAAATGCGTTCCTGGATAATTACATACGTTTTTAAAGTTACTTTTTTTTTAAGGTATTGTTTAATATAGAAACCCGCCCCCAATGTTTGAAAAAATACTTTTAATACACCAAAAACCAAAGACAATATAAAAATCGGCAGTGTGTATAGTAAACCATCGATAAACGTTCTCCTGCAGTGAGTGATCAAAGGGCGAAAGACCCTCCACACTTTGCAAATGATACGATTACAGGGGCTTCCCTTGAAGTACCCTTCTTGCGGTACTATGAGATGTACGACATGCTAGTGCCCCTTGATCTGTATTGATGCCTAGATTGTCTCCGACATCCTGTAGCATGGGTTCTTCATGGTCAGGTGTATGAGCGGATCTGTCTTCCTCGAGCCATAGTTTGTGTTGCCACGGATCCTGTCTTAGGAAAACAACGATAAACAGCGACAGAGGTTAGATGACTCAGCTACCTTTGGTCTGGAAACGTAAGTGATACAGCCTTGCAGCCTCGCGTCCATTACCATTCGAGTGGCTGTATGTAAAAATCATATCTGCCTGCTCACGATATGAATATCCTGGCATTGTTAAACAGAACACTTCTGAGTTAACTCAATACTACACACGTTAACCGTTGAAGACAGACTAGCCACAAATATACACGAATGACAAATGTAACAAAGTCTACGTGATAACACAGCGCCGTCTACCATAAACTTTCTTTAAACTTAACTCAAAAACGAAGGATTTGCGGATACATGTTTATATGGACTTTTGTCCTTGTTTTGCTGCGAGGAAGCTGCCACTAAAAGTATTTTTGATACACTCTGTATGTACATATATATATATATATATTGTCATCCACAGACATACTGTTTCACAGCTCATCAGTGTGGCTAGACGTCCAGTTGCCTCTAGCTAGGATCAAAACCCGACTAAATTGGCGTCAGTCGGAGATTCTACCACTAAGCCGTTGGCGCAAGGCAGGGATGAAAGTGAATTATAGCGTATTTATTTTTAGATAAACACTCAGTAACTGAGAGAACTCGATTCGATTTACCGAAGAGTTTTGCATTATTAGCCGTAATAGTCACTTTTTACAAACTCACACTTCCTCCCCAGAGAGCTCAACCGAAATAAATTTTTCAGGAGCATATATATTTATTGCGCATATTTTGCCAGAAGATTTTAAGTCTGACATGTCTTATTAAGTAATTTAGACAAGTTTTTTTCTACTTATTCTTAGTAGGATCCGCTCATATTTACAGACGAGTTTCTTAGTAACCTTATTAAAGGAAGAAAGAAAATGACTATGCTGATTATATCCATTTTATTCCCGACTACTTTTGACATTAGCACAATGTCATCTTCAGTGTCTTGTTTTTTTCTGTTGGAGATACAACAAAAAAATAATATATATTTTGGTCACACCACAAATACGTTGTCTAGAAGGTTGAGTTTTCATTTGAATGATACTTCTAACATCGCTCACCATTTACAACAGCATACCTGTTCACATTCGCAATTTAGAAAATGTCTTGTCGAAAATACATCTATACTTTCTCATGAAAATAGTAAACGAAAATTAAAAATTGTTGATGATATTTTGTTATGTTATGGTGATTATCTGAAAATGGCTCACGTGAGCCGAAAGCTTAGATCAAGGAACAGCTTAATAAGACATATCCAAATGTTGGAGACTTTCTATCTTTATTTTCACCCGAAATTAATGCAAACATGAGAAATTTTGAACGGCTCATAATGATCAGATATAATAGACATTCATTGTCTGTTATATTTAACAATATATGTTTAAACAATGATCTGCTGCCCTAATACACTGTATATTTGTATATACATATATGTATATTTCATTGATATTTGTGTGTACATTTGTATTATATTTGAAACTACATAGTGGATGTGTATATTTCTATTTAAATTATATTTATGTATTTGTATTTAAGTACACACACACACACATATACATATATATATATATGTGTGTGTGTGTGTGTGTACTGTATGTATATGTATATATATATATGTGTGTATGTATATATATATATATATATATATATATATATATATATATATATAGTTTTACGGTTTGCTATATTTATGGATAAAGTCCTCAATATCAGGGATAGAACGTAGGTAAATATAGAATTGAACATTGGAGTCAACACTCAGAGGGCTCTTTATATAATATATATATATATATATATGTGTGTGTGTGTGTGTGTGTGTGTGTGTGTGTGTGTGTGGGGTGTTGATAGGTATTTTTTTCAAATATTTTCTCATGTTTCAGACATGAATATTGCATTTAAGTATGAAACACACTGCCACCGTTGAATGTTCACCTCAAGTTGAGCTCCATGTCTACTTATTTACATGGACTCTACCCCTGATTATGAGTACTTTAACTAATTAATATAATTTATCTTAAAACTGAAACAGCATTTTTATCATATATGGTAGATTCAAGTTCCATAGCCTAGCATTTAAAAGAACATTTCTGTCAAGATTCACGATTTAGCGAAATATTAACTGATATTATAAGTATACTCCACCATTAAAATAACAAACAAAAATTTCAAATTCTAGAAGCCATCTATATAAGAAAATTACGACCTAAATAAGATAATTATGAATACACCAACAATGTGTAAAATGTCTATAAATTGTTTTTTGAAGAAAATGCAATTATAACAGCAATATTTTAAAATACTTAAATTGTAATTGTTTAAAGTAATTACCTCCCTTGATAACATTAATTTTTTTTCAAATCAACATAGCGCATTTCATGCGCATTTACCAAAAAATCCCAACTATCTATTACATTAGCTTTTGCCTTAGCAATTCCCCCAAGAGGATGATCTTGGATGAGATTGAAAAATATTTGGGAAAATAAAAGGAACGAGAAAGACATAAGGTGCCTTCCTTAATGGCAACATTAAGAAATTGATCCGTGAATTTGAAAGGATTAAAATAAAAATAAAATGACATAATATGTCTATATTATACAACCAAACATTATTGAATGAAGATATGCTGCCTACATATATATATATATATATATATATATATATATATATATATACTAGCCGAATTACCCGTGCCTTGCTGCGTGTCACACATTTTTTTGTAAGAAAATGATGGTTGATTTTAAATCATTGTTATAATTTGCGGAGAAAAATGATGCATTTCAATATTACTCAATGATCTTGCTGATGTGACCTCCATTCTCCTTTCTCCTTCTATATTTTGGATAGGAATCATTCCCTTGTTCAAATTTCAATTTAATTTAAATCAGAGGGAAAATATTTCAGTGCGGGGTTTGTGCATCCCCACCCTCGGCGACCCACTTTGATTAAAATGAAATATACTTATCCAAATACCCAGGGTAATTTAGTTTCAGAATATATACAGTTATGGGGGTCTATCTCCAAAACACTAGGAGGAGTTCGATAACAAACAGACAGACAGAGGCTACGAGTTGTTTTTGATTCTGAATCCTTACCTGCGAGATACTTGGCCGGCATCGTGAAATCATAATAATTGAGGTAAACGCCGACGACAAAATATTCCCCAGTGTCGAGAAGGCCGCGTTCATAAAGGTTAGCCATGAGACCAACAAAATCATATGACTGACCCAGCATCAGGTAAACTGAAAAGAAGAAAATATATAAATTCGTGATATCTCTCTGTTTTTCACGGATGAAGAATTATCTTCATCTTTGTTACTGTCATCACAACGTTTCAACCGTTTTATCATCCGGCCTTCTTCAGGCCTCCGTAGATCTGGATAACTCGCAGTGAATTTCAAACTGAATCATTTATTTAATAAACGTGGGTCTAGACTGATCTCGCACCGTTCTCCATATCTAAGAATATATCGTCTTGTTCTTTCTTTCTTTCTTTCTTTCTTTCTTTTATGATGAATCAGTTATTGCTCGCCCTGTTTCAATTGAATCTGGGTCTGTACTACCCGACTCAGGAATTAAACTTACAATTGTTATATTTCAAAATTCACAAAACCAACGGTCCAATGCACAAAGCTATTGTCATTGTCTGTTAAGGTTATTCAGATCCACGGACACCTTAAAAAGGCCGGAGAGCGCATCGGCCGCACTGATAATAATGAAGATGAGTATATTCGTTTCAATGTAGAATAAATAATGATTTCCCGAATTGTCTGTAAAATAAAAAATAAGCCAGTAATCATCTAATAGCCTAACTACAAAAACAAAAAAGATATTTGTTATAAATATTATTAAATATAAGAAACAAATTCCGGTAAACTAAAATAATAATAATAATAATAATAATAATAATAAAACAATCAAAGCTATCCGCTCAGACATTGTTATTAGAGACAGCAAACAAAAAATGACTCCTCATTGATATGGCAGTCCCTGCAGACTGCAATGTATCTTTGAAGATATTCAAAAAGCTGTCAAAATAGAAGGACCTTGAAATCGAAATCTCAAAAATGTGTCAGATGAGAGCATCAACAATCCCTGGTGTAGTTGGAGCCCTCGGATTGGTTGGAAAAGATTCCAGTAGACTAATTGAAGGGATTCCTGGAAGCCCATGGCTTAAAGAAACACAAAAATTGTACTCACGAGTACAGTCTACACTTTACGAAGGGCTTTCTCTATGTAAATATGTTTTTTTTAATTGGTCAATGGAAAATGCCATGATACCATTTCTAACCTTAGGTCACTGGGCGGGACCCGGAAAGAAATGTTTACACACCAGAAATCAAAGGAAATAATAATAATAATAGTAATAATAATAATCTGCATTAGTGCTTGTGAACTTGGTAGTCGACGAGAAATGGTGTCGCCATAAGCCTAAGATGATCGAAAAAGACTAAGTCAAGAACTTGTGAGATTTTAACATTCAAACAGGACGAATCCTTGAGAACAACAAACCTGACATCACATTCTTTTACAAAATAACAAAGATGTCAATTGGTTTCAGTGAGAATAATAATAATAATAATAATTATTATTATGTTATAATAATTGTACTTGTCCCTGGCTTCGTTAATTCACATGAAATTATCTCATAAATATGGATTATTCCGTTTTGATCGCAGAGAAAGACAAAATAATTATCAGAAACGCTACTTGGTTTCACTGAAAAAGAAATATATTAATGTTTAACATCTCCTGCTAATATCCCATAAATAATAGACTATTCTGATTTGATCGTGTGAGAAGACAAAAGTCGTTAAAGACGGTAATGGGTTTCAGTGATAAAGAATGGCAGATCGAAGTGTAGAGTAAATGAATTTGTATCTTCTAACTTCTTAAAATAATTCATATTCATAATGGTTATTGCAATATTTTATTAAAGTTGTTAAGCTCGTGTATTTAACGATGCGATAAGTGAATTTCTACGGATATTTTATTACCGTAGATCTCGCCATAAGCTTATTAACTGAAGAATTAAGATTCATCAGAAATTTAAAACCATAAAATTTTCACGGCTTAAAACTAGTAGTAATAATCGCCGGTTGTGGAATGCTTGCGTAGAAAGAAGCTCCGCCCTGATAAATTGCCCCCCCCCTATCTGCAGGGACTTGAAGTCAACGATAAATGGTACCACCATAAGCCAGAGTAAATGATCGAAAACGGAAAAGTCCAGACCTTGTGGCATTTCGACATCCAAACAGATCGAATTCCTGAAGCCAATAAATCAGACATTATTGTCGTTGAAAAAAAAAAGGGGTGGGGGGCTTTTTCTGGTGACTAAAATATGAAGCCCAAAGTAATTGATAAGTTTAAGAAGTACACCGACCTTCTGTTAGAAGTTGCCACAATGTAGCAAGTTCAAGTCACTCTTGTCTCAGCTGCCATTACGGCGATGGAGTCTATAACGCCGAATTTAAAATCCTAAATTATGATAAATGTAATAAAGTCAAGCATCCCATCGCTTCAGAAGTCCGCGTTGCTTAGCACTGCAAATATTATGTGAAATATGCTTTTTGTCTAAGGTTGTAAGACGAGGGAGAACACCCACAATAAATGATTTGTAGTTGAAGAAAAGCTGTACGAACAATGGTGACTTTATAACGATTCAATGATACGCCCACTAGCAACTTTAATTGATCGAGTTTCAACTTAATTGATCGAGTTTCAACTTAACAAATACTAATAATAATTCTATTCAGAAGGACAGTGGATTTGCACAAGTGTGTGTAATGCTTGCTCAAAAAGTATACAAGAACAAACATGATAAAGTGGACTCCCATCTGAATTGATGCCTATGTCGGAATTCTGGACTTGAAGACGACAAATAATGATACGGCCACAAGCCAGAGAAGGCGACCGAAATCGTTCGATTTCAATATCTAAACAGACCGCGCAATTGAGGCCATCAAACTTGATATCACCTTCGTTTACAAAATAACAAAATAATGTCTCCACATCGATGTGGCTGTTACTGGCAACAATAATATCATGGAAAAAGCCTAAGAAATTCACAGAAACCCAGATTGAAGAATATCGAATGCCTAGGCCACTATTGTCCCAGTGATAATTAGGGCGTTGTGCCACTGAACGTAAAGTTCGATATTGACAAAATCGGAATAACACTTAGTATACCACCAAGACCCATATTAAGAAAATTGGAATAAGATCTCGTATCCCATTGCTTCAGAAGTCCGCATTGCTTGGCTCTTCAAATATTCTGCTAAAGGTTCTGTCTGTCTGAAGTCGTACGATTTTATAGAAAACACCCATAATGCAAGACGTCCGTTTGAAAGACGAATAGACGTGCTATATAATGAAATATAACAACAACAACAACAACGATAATAATATTAATAATAATAATAATAATAATAATAAATGGATGTGTTGATACTATTGACCACTTAGACTCTGGTTGTCCGATCTAATCAATGAAGGATTACAAAACGCAATTTCGTTTTGAAGTCTTCATTACCAGTATAGACAATTTTCTCAGAACGTTTGTAATTTTTAATTTGTTAATACTTTTATAATAAAAGAAAGACATACTGTCGAAATATTGTATTTTTGTACAATGGTGTACAATGTCTAAGAGCCACTCGAGGTAGAGCGTTACAGAGTAAGAGGCACGATTTATGTGGATATAAAGGTAAGATAACTGTTAACCCTAGACACGAACAGATTAAGATTGTATTAATTGGGGAAGCATTTCTTGGTTGTGTTTTCATATCTTTCTATGGCAACAGCAAGAATTATCTTGAGTAAAATCAACAACAGATCTACCTCAAAAAATATGCAGCACAAAGGGGAGTAATACCATTATGAATAACGCAGTGAGCTGAAGGTTAATTAGTTCTAGATTAAAAGAAAACAAATAGTTAAAAACGAAAAAGAATATGCGAGAATGAACGACCCAGGAAAGGAAATACATTAGCCAAGCTCACTTGACTTCTGTCTACATATGATCAGCTATACTTACTCCGTCTCTAAATAGCGAATGTTAGAGAAATTCACGATGTTCATTCAAAGGTGACGGCTTCAACGTGTGAATCAGGGCAAATGACATTACCAAGAAATAGTATGAACGAAACACCGGTTGAAGCGTGCTTAAGAGAGGAAGCGCTTGCTCCACAGTACAAGGAGTGACATTCCAAAAAGCAACGCCACATCGAAGGATAGATATAAAGAGACGTTGTGAGAAAAATAAAAAATAAAACGTCAAAAATGAAAAATACTTCGTTCCGAGAATAAAAAAAGAGAATATCAACTAAAAATGTTTGACAAGAACAAGACAAATAGATTAGTGAAGGCGCCATGTTTTATTTATTTTTTTTTTAGTTCTTAAGCGTCAGAATAAATTGAATGTTTTCTAAATCAAAATAAAACAATAAAAGGAAAAAGAGAGAAAAACTTACAAAATACAAATGATAAAAAAAAGTCACTCTTTCCATTTATTTATCTTATTTTTCCGTAATTTTTTTTTTTTCATTTTTAATTCATTTTCCTTTTTCCAGTTCCGATTTTCCTCTCATTCTTTCTTTCTTTCTTTCTTTCTTTCTTTCCTTCTTTCTTTCTTTCTTTCTTCATTTCTTCCTTGATTGATTCCGTTCTTTCTTTCTTTCTTTCTTTCTTTCTTTCTTTCTTTCTTTCTCCTCTCTCTTTCTTTATTTCTGTCTTTCTTCCTTTCTTTCTTGATTGATTCTGTTCTTTCATTCTTTCTGTCTTTATTCTTTTCTTTCTTGCTTCCGTTTTCATTCTTTCTTTCTTTGTCACTCTCTCTCTCTCTATCTCTATCTCTCTCTTTCTCTCTCTCTCTCTCTACCCTTCTTCCTTTTTTCCATTCTCGATTGCTTCCGTTTTTCATTCTTTCTTTCTTTCTCACTCCCTCTCTTTCTTTCTTTTTTTCTTTAGTCCTTTCTTTCTTCCCTTCTTCTTTCTTTCTTTCTAGATTGCTTCCGTTCATTCAGTTTTTCTTTCTCATAGCATTTTCTTTCTTTATTGATTGATTTCGTTCTCTTATTCTTTCATTCTTTCTTTCTCTCGTTTTCTCTTTCTTTCTTTCTTTCTTTCTTTCTTTCTTATATACGTTCTTTCATTTTTTCTTCATTTCTTTTTCTCGTTTTTCTGTCTTAATTCCTTCCTTTCGTTGATTGATTCCGTTCTTTTATCCATCCTTTCTTTCATTCTCTCTCTTTCATTCTTGATTTCTACTGTAATTTCATTCTTTCTTCTTCTCTCTCTTTTTCTTTCGGCCTTTCTTTCTCTCTCGCACTTTCCTTCTTTCTGTCTTGCTTTCTTTAGTGATTGATTCCGTTCTTTCATTCTTTCTTTTCTTCTCTCTTTCTTTATTCCTTTCTTTCTTGATTCCTTGCTTCCATTCTTTCATATTTTTCTCCCCCCTCTCTCTCTCTCTATATATATATATATATATATATATATATATATATATATATATATATATATATATATATATATATATATATATTTTTTTTTTTTTCTTTGATTACTTTCTTTCTTTCATTTTTTTTTTTCTTTCTCTCTCTCTCTTTCTCTTTTTTTCTTTTTGTTTTTCTTCCTTTATTTCATTCTTTCTTGCTTTCTTCCTCACTCACTCTCTCTCCTCTCTCTCTCTCTCTCTCTCTCTATATATATATATATATATATATATATTTCTTCCTTTTTTCTTTCTTTGATAGTTTCCTTTCTTTCTTTCTTTCTTTCTTTCTTTCTTTCTGTGTCTCTTTCGCTTTTTTCTTTTTGTTTTTCTTCCTTTATTTCATTCTTTCTTGCTTCCCCTCGTTCTTTCTTTCTCTCTCACTCACTTTCTCTCCCTTTCTTTCTTCCTTTTTTCTTTCTTTGATTATTTCCTTTCTTTCTTTCCTTCTTTCTTTCTTTCTCTCTCTCTCTCTATTTCGCTTTTTCCTTTTTGTTTTCTTTCTTTTATTTCGTTCTTTCTTGCTCTCTCTTTCTCTCTCCCCTCTCTCTCTTTCTTTCATCATGGCCTGAGGGAGAAACTCCAAAGTATACGATTTAAAAACCCGAACAACTTGATAAACAAAGCGAATGGAATTTATTCAAACTTCCAGTAGTCCTCTGAAAACCGGGAAAAAGAACAAAAATTCTCTAGAACATTATTATTATACAACCATCCATTTTAAAAAAAACAAAGAAACCAATAAGCGTGGGACAGAGCTGTTAATGTTTAAAGAAGACGATAAATATTATGTTTATATATATATATATATATATATATATATATATATATATATATATATATATATATATATATATATAATGGCTAGCAACTCGTATTCGAAGATACCCTTCTACTACGCCGTATGGCTAATCGTTATTGCAGACGCTTCTACAGGTGCATTCTGTGTTTGTGCAACACCCAGAGTTCGACTGTGGCTTTATACTGCAACCATGGCAACTGGTCTAGAAGGACAACCCTGAATTCAAAACCTGCGGAGGGTCGTTTGGAAACCTCGTGGCATTTGGTGCACCAGGTCTCTGTATTTGGTCCTTCAAAAAATGTGGATGCTCCTGCACGAGGCCTTCACCACTATAATCAAATCTCATGTGCCGGTGTCGGGCTGTCGGTTTCCTGGGAACTGATCTGCTTGACCCTCACACGTCGAATCTCGACGGGAGATTCGATATATATATATATATATATATATATATATATATATATATATATATATATATATATATATATATATATATGTATGTATGTATATATATAACTCAGCACACACATACACACACACACACACACATATTTTTTTCTTTCTTTCGTTCTTTCTTTATTTGTTTCTGGTATTTTTTTTTGTTTTATTTTTTTTCTTTCTTTCCGTATTTATTTCCTTCTTTCTTTTCATTCATTCATTCTTTGGCTCTTTCTTTCTTTTTCTTTCTTTTCTTTTTTTTTCATTCATTCACTCTTTCTTTAGCTCTTTCTTTCTCCCTTCCTTTTCTTTTCTTTCTTTCTTCCTTTCTTTTCTTTCTTTCTTTCTTTCATTCATTCACTCTTTCTTTGGTTCTTTCTTTCTTCCTTTTCATTCTTTTCTTTTTTTCTTTCTTTCTTTCTTTTCCCTACCGTATATTCTGTTTTCGGCATTTACTTACTTCGAGTATCAACAAATGTCCGGGAGACGATCTTGGCAAATGGATTCTCTTCATGATTGTGGAAATAAGGTCCTTTGTATTTCTCTTGCTGCGACACGGTTATGTTGTTCTCCATCAAGAGCTAAAAAAAAAAAAAAAAGAAGTTTCACAAGAGGAAATAAGAAGCAATTTAGTATCACATAAAACTATCACATGTATATCACATATTATCTTTCTCGGTCTCTTCATATCTTTCTTTCTGTCTATCACATTCTGTCCATATCTATGTATCGATCCATCTCAGTATGTTCATATCTATCTATCTATCTATCTATCTATCTATCTATCTATCTACTAGTTTTAAAGCTCGGCTTTGCCCAGGAGTTAACTTTCTCTGTATGGAAGGTCATAACCGCGATAATCATTTTGTACACACATGTAAGGCTGAAGTCTAGTAGAACTGATGGCTGCCCACGTAAAAAAACGTAATGTACACAAGTTGTCGGTATTCATTAGTACAACGGAAGAAAAAATTGTAAGGCTTAAAAGGAAGCAATGGACAGCCGTTTGCCATTACTAAGACACCTCCAATTAAAAGTTGTCAAGTTCAATACGAACACGGGCCTTAGGAAGGTTTTGGTGGGTTGTGGCAGATGGCTTTGTATTCCGATGGGATGTTTTTATTATCTCTGAATGCAAGACATTACATGAAGCCCTGTGTCAGTTGCAACGTAATAAAACGCAATAGCCTGAAAGGTAGATGCGTCTTTTGCCCAAAAGACGGCGCTGTCACTACCGCAAACAGAACCACATAACAAAAGTATGAGAAAGTGCCGGGGTGAGAACTTATAAGTGGCACAAATTTTTTTTGTAGTTTTTAATAGCCAGTTGAGGTGAGCATGAAGCGTATGTAGCATTACCTAAAGCAGCCGTGAGGGGAGAAACACACCAACGGTGTACGACAGAGAATGCATATTATAACTCTGCATGCTGCTATTCTTTTATTATCCCGCTTCTTTTTGCTGAGGCCTGAATTGCATGGATGCACTTGACTTCTCTGACAAACGAATCCCCCTTTCCACGTATTGGTTTTGTGTTGCAACTGAATATGGTTACATGGTCAACATGTAAGTGCGAATGCAGCTATGGAGGAGTTTAAGTGATAAGGGAGCATCTGGTGAGCAAGACAACCTTTAATGAAATGTCTTAGTAATAGCAAATGGATACTACGACGACCTTTAAATAAACCGGGTTCAAAAATGAAGGAACCTACGATGCAGCTCACATAAAGATGTTTACATTGCGTTTAAACGTGACCGACCATGGGCTATAGGACTTCTGCGTAAGTAATATTTTTAGCTTTGTTTGTTGGAGAGTCAACGTAAACGTTATCCTTACTCCCGACACGGGAGCAGCCTACGTAAAGCTGTCCATGAACGAAACACTGTTCACCTAAATGCAGACCCGCAACGCCGAGCGTCTGTCTGCGATTTGGCCATTGTTGTTGAGCCGTGCTCGCCGTACCCCAGGGCTTTCTGAAACTCTGGTAGACGCAGTAGATGTGGAATTCCTCAAATGACGATTAGCGGTCAGCACAGAACTTTCTAAAGCTTTGGCAGACGCAGTAGCGCTGGTATTTCTTAAACGACGAATAGCGGTTTGTTGAGGTTGTTCCGAAACTCTGATATATGCTGTAGCCTTAGCATTCCTAAGACGACGCAAAGTGGTTTGTTCAGGGCTTTCTAAAACTTTAGAACATGCTGTAGTGCTGGCATTCCTTAAACGCCGAAAGATTGTCTATGTTGGGGACTCGGAATCCCTGGCCCTAGAAACGCGTATTGCGTCCTGTGAATTCTGTACTAAACGCTCCTCAGTTGAAAGTCTAGCGCGTCGTGATGACATAACTGATACTAGTGATGCTAGCCTTTCAGTTCGTTCAGCGGTACTTTCTATGGAGATGCAGGCAGCAGAGCATGAGGCTATCTGAGAAAGGCGCAAGAAGTTTGCTCTGTGGTTTCACTTGCCTTTGCTGCTCTTGTAGCGGAGGCAGCAGCCGTGCACCGTCCAAAAAGTTTTCTTCTCTTAGGCGGCATTTTAAACAATTTTAAAAAGGCAAATGTAATAAAAAGTATGTAGGTTTTTTGAGTGTAAAAATATGTGTAGTCTAAACGCATGCAGGTTAGAAGGATCCCAAAAATGTATGTAACTGTATCAAAAGGGGATCGAAGACAAAAAAAGTGAAGTTTAAAAAATTCAACTAAAGCTAAAGCGGTAGTAGATAATTTGGGAAGTAAATTTGATAAACGCGGAAACGGATGTAGTTATAAGTTAGAAGTAAAAAAAAAAAAAAATTCGGATACGTAATCAACAACTTTCGGTTTCCGTAAGAAGCGAATGAAGTGAGCCAAGTGCGGGACGGTAATCGCAGAAGCGTGAACACGCGTGCGAGTTAGGGTATAAAGAGGCGATTGGCCGGTTGACTTGGAGTGAACATACTAAGGTGACGTACGTACGCACGTGCAAACGCGTGCGTAAGAGAACTGCTCGCGCGTATGATTGGATGGGCCCAAGGTTAAACGCTTGCAACCGTGCCAATGAGCTCGCAGCAACCTTGAACAGTTGACGCGATTGGTTAACCTCCAGCTGGGTTAGGCAAAGCAGTGCACTGTGGCGGATGACGTTTCAAAATAGTATCTGGCGACTTAATTGTATCGGTTTTTTTTTTATTGATAAATATGAAAGCTATGTAGTTCCTTATCCCAAAATAGGCATTGCCTTTTTGATTTACGTCGTCACCGATGTAGCGCAGTCTCTCAAAGTCAGCCAATCAGAAAATGGGATTTTCAAGCTTCATTTTTCTTTGAAAATTTTGAGCAGTCAGGAGATAAATAAATTATTTGATCAAAATTGAAAATACAAGCGTTTAAGATGAATACATAGCAAAATTTGAAAAATATTAATTTGAATTAGGAAAAATATTTTCCATCTTGAAGGGATGATTTTCGAAAGAAACCTGTTGAAGCGTTGAGACGAAGAAATACGGAAGTGCCTTTGAAAGAAAACGGCATAAAAAAAATGTTTATATGTCAAGAAGTTTTCCATAAGGCTAACAAAAGCCTTGAAACACGTAACCATTTAATCATAATATCACACCATACCATTTAGGATACACCATACTTAAAAGAAATAACATTTGAACCACCTATCATTAAAGAATTATATTTAAAAATGGTAAAAATTTTTGTTGTCTGATGATTTGTTTAAAGCCTTTTAATTTTTTACGCTTAGTAAATATAGTGATGAAATATTTTCCATAATAACACACCTCAGACGATGTTTGGAAAAATTTTAAAACATTTATAAACTTAAATTCAAACAAGAAAAATGCAAACAATTCATATAAAAATTCATTATTCATCGAAATATTTTTTCTTCAGACAATAATGTCCTTAGTGTATATTATCCATAAAAGTCTATCTAATTAGATAATTAGTTTTAATACAGTTTTTATTTAACGATTTAGAGCAGATTTTTTTAAAGTTGGTGATAGTTGGGAAAAAATTGATTATTTACATTTTCCAAGGAGTCCTGCTTTTAATTAATGTAAAACGATTTTTAAACGATTTGAAATTCTAGGAAATTTCATGAAATTAACTTACTGGGGGTGGATAACAGATGTAAAAAAAGTATTTTTACCAAGATTTTCTAAAAAATAAAAATTTCAAAAATAAATGAATTTATTTTGAATAAGTCTTTAAAGTTTCATCAAAATCAGAGAATTATTTGATTTTTAGTAGAATTTTCAAATTAATGTCATTTTATCGGAAACGGCTCCTCGAAAATGTCCATCACCACAAGTCTTACACAGTTGACAAAAAAAAATCTTTTACCCAAATTTAAAACGTGTTAGAAAGGAGGAAAAAATTTAAATAATTAAAAGAAAAACTTTGATCTTTCCTCTTAATAATAACATAAAAATTTTGATAATAAAACATTGTTTTTATAAAGTTTGGGGCCTTTTATTATCATACTGTACTGTTATTTCTCGAAATATTGCAGGTACCTATGGCGGTAGATTGTTCAATGACGTGGATCGGCTGTTTGGTGACACAAACTCTGTGGACATAAAATTAACGTGCCCTGTCAACAGACAGATTCCCGCTTTAAAAGATCATTAGGCTATTTCTTATTTTCACACTTGAGAGTGTATTCGTGTGTGTGCGTGCGTGCTATAAAAATGTGTATTCGCATTGTGCGTTTTGTGTATTAAAATTATTTAAAATATGTTTAATCACGAATTAATGCAAGCATTACTGACAGAGTTGTGTGTTTGTTTAACGTGTTTTGTTTGCCTGTATATTTTGCGTGTGTTGCATTTTTCGTGTGTGGATTGACAGTGTGTGGATATCAATGATATTTTTATGATAGAATCCAATTTATATATAACGTAAATGCATTTGTAATTTTTTTCATATTAATCGTCTTTATAATTCAAGGAGAAAAATTATTTTATGTATTTTCTTTTAAAACAAAGAAACTGCAACGTTTAATTCGCGATTAAATGAATTTAATTGCAAAAAGATATAATTATCATCACTTTATCGATCGAATCAATCAGAAATAGCAGACGACTTAATGAAAGCCTTCAACGAGAAAGAAAACACTACGTTTAACATTATGCCATGTTCATTGACACGTTGTTTGAGAATGTCGTTAGAATTTCGTTACCATTTAAAATGACTAAAATCTAAAACTCACGGCAATGATTGTTTTAGCGGTGTGTTGGAATTCATTCTCGTTGCTGTAGACAAAAGTGACCTTTGTCCAATTGTATGTCATCAGAAGAGAAGCGACGCTCCGGGAGATCTGAGATTCAGTAGGTTTCGTCCGGATGAAGGTCGGGTATTTATCCTTGTTACTTACTGTATAGTCGGAACAGTACTGTAAAAATCAAATCAAAGAAAAAAGAAAGTTTAATAAAAAAAAAAAATGAAATAATTTTTAGAAGAAAAATTATTAGCTGATATTAAACATACATTTGCGCTTCATTCTTGCCACAAAGAGGGCGTAAACGCGTAAATAATTTCAAATCCAGCAGACTTTAACGTCTTCAATGGGAAAATTAAAATTTTCTGATAAACGTGTTTCTGATCTCGTTCTAGAAATCTTAGCAGTCTTCCATAATACATGGATTTGTTTCTCAGTCCAACCTGAAGACGCCATTCTTTCCCGGTATGAGGGTAGGGCTGAACAGTTCATAATTCTCGACTTCCTTCAGAAAACGAAAATAAATAAATAAATGATTTCTTCTTTTTTTTTGGGTATCCATCAAAAATAATATTATTTTTAAATCTGTTCCATTAATCAAATTTAAATTCAATCTTTCATGAATCTCT